AGAAGCCGCTGCCTCTGTCATTCCTGATGTTCTTGGCCAAGTGTGGCAGGAAATGGAATGCCGTTTGAATGTTCACAGAGCCACCAATGGAGCCCACACAGAACTTCGATAAACATCTGGAAAATTTTGAGTTCTTTAATTTAATATATGTATTTTAGTTCGTTTAGTACATATAAAATTGTCATATTTAGCGTGGTATGAATGACGAAAAATGACGGGTTCTTCTTCGGATGATTGGATTTCTTAGAACTTTGGTTACAGATTCTCTTAATTACATTTAATACATGCAATAAAGCGGTATCGCTGATATACACAATTTCCATTTCGCCGTTCCACACGCACTAGGAGTCTTCGTCTTCACTTGTCGTCTCCAGTTCAAAACTGTGCTCAATATCACTAGCCGAGGAGGATGACGTTGGCAGGGCATGTAGCACGAATGGGGGAGGCGAGGAATGCATATGGGATATTGGTGGGAACGCCAGAAGGAAAGAGAGACTGCAATACAAGAGATCTGGTTGTAAAAGTATTTTTTGCAAGAAGCGACAAAAAGAATTGAAAGGTGGGGCGAGGGGAGCACTCAAAATAGTTGCTAAGGTAGCATACCTTCTTACCGATTGTGCTCTCGGCCCTGGAGGCCATTTTAAATTTACTTCATGTAAGCTGAAAATAGATGGCAGCAGCATCGTACCGAGGTGTAATGGCGGCCATGTTGCCAAGCAATAACATGGGAAGAAAGCAGTCTTCTGGGATTTTGCATCGTGTATATGTGGTGTTAACCGACGTTTCGGAGGAACGTATCGCCTCCATCTTCAGGGTAGAAGAAAAATATATAAGAAATCTGCAAGCAAAGAGACCGTGAGAACCGGTAGAAGCTTCTCTCCGAAACGTCGGTTAACACCACATATACACGGTGCAAAATCCCAGAAGACTGCTTTCTTCATAGTCACCGCCGTGAAAGCCTCAAATCTTACAATAACATGGGAGTTTTACAGGGCTGTTTCTTATCGGTTCTGATTGTTCTGATTTTTGTGATTATGAAAAGTTTAATTTCAGTGACACATTTCCAGTGAAAATGACTACAGACTCTTCAGTGCTCTTTAGTATAGTTGATATAAATTTGGGGTGTGTTAATGCTACTGTCAAGCTTTCACTCGGAGTGATCAATGTAAGTCGTATTATACAGTCAGTGAAATATAGCGATCGCTGCTGAAATGAGTGTTGGGTGTCTGAAGTAACCATTTAGTAAGAATATTTTACTGATGAAGATTATGCCACGTCAGTAGCTGTAATAAGTTAAATAAATACGGAGATTGTACATTTTACTGTATGGCTTTGCAGTAATCATGATGGATGTTAAATTGTGTTCAGCGGTTCGTGCGATAAGTGTAGCTTCTGAATATGGGAGGACGGTAAACGCCAGCTTTGCCATTTCATTTAGTGTTTTTGGGCTACTGCCTATTTGGTATGTGTGGTTTATGTTTTACTTTATTGGGAAATAGTATCTGCCAAGTTTATTTTAGCCAGCTGTGCCCAAATGTAAGAAGTCTTGAATATAGTTTGCCACCCTCTCCTATTATATTTACTTAGGTAATGTGTTGGGGCTGTGTATCTGTAGCGTGTTTCTTGATGGACATCTACTTGTGAAGCATTTCAGATCTGGGATGTTGCACCTTGTAGGCTGATATAAGGTTATCACCATTCCAAAGTAACGTACTGCCTCCATATTCAGGATAGAAGTGAAGGTGGAAGAGGGATGCTCTTACAAAACTTTGGTACCTAGCTACCAAACAACACTACCATATTCTTGAAGACTGAAGTGATACTATTCACCCCTATGAGAACTTCATTTCTCAGACTCCATTCCTTGACACCATGACTCCATTACTGCATCTGAGAGGGTTAAAAATATCACAGAATTTTGTATTGAGGGAGATTGACCGATACTTGGTTTAGCAGTACATTTATAACTCTGTAGGTGATGTAGTATGATTCATGTTTGGAAAAGAAAGAGGCAGAAGGGGTAGGGTAATGTAGTATGTCTTTCAAATAAAATTTGATTTGATTTTTTAAAATAACTATTCTACTTTTGTGTTTGGTTCTAGGTTGATTATAAATAGTCTTAAAAATTGTGCTTAGGACTAAAATAGATTTTTAGTGTCATTATGATCATTTTTGTCTGTTTTGTTGCTGAAATCTTGAGATGATGCAACATGTGGGATCCATCTTTTAATCCCTGTCTTGCTGGTTTTTCTAATCATCATGTATATGGTTACACACTAATTTTTGTTCTTAGTGTCAATACTGGACAATATTTTTTTTACATATATTTGGAGTTTAAGTGCATTGTATTTTTTGTGTATATGAAGGGGTCCCCATTATAATGGTGTTATTCAGTGTTGCAGCACTGTTCAGAAATAAAGATATATGTGCTTATACTACTTTTATAAATGTTCCAGGTGTATGATTTGCCAGAATGTAATTTCAGTTCTAATTATTTAATTCGCTTACTGCGGGGTGGAGTCCGGCTGGGTTGACTTGGCAGGGTGGCCACAGATTGGCCTATTGTACCTGCTCTGGGTGATCATGATGATGGAGTATTTGGTCGAATGAAGATTGGCAGGGGAAACTGAAGTACTCAGGAGAAAACCCGCCCCAGCGCCACTTTGTCCACCACAAATCCCACTTGACCAGACCCGAGATAAAACTTGGACCACCGTGGTGGGAAGCCAGTGACTAACTGCTTGAGCTATGGCACGGCCAAAACTGCCAGAATGTAACTATGAAAGCCCACACAGATCACCATCTGCTGTTAGAGCAGGTAATTACTACCATGCAGTTGTAATAAGCATCTGCCTCTGAGATCCATTTTAATATGAGCTCATCTTTGCCTAAATGTTATGGACAGTTTAATTGGGGGCGGGATAGTGTAGTCAGTATAGCAACTGGATGGATGACCAAGAGGTCAGAGTTCGAGTCCCGACATGGTTTCCCACAGAAATTCAATACACGTATTAATTTTTCTTTATTCTACATTCCTATCCATCTTGTCTTTCAATGTAAGCACTCTAAAAGAAAACGCAAGCAATACAAATTACAAATCTTGTCATAGTGTAATTTTCTCCATTGTGCATTCCTGCTGATGGAAAACATCAGTATTCATATATTACCTGAGAAAAAGATTTCTGGGATGTTATTATGGTTTGACAACTTTCAAGAGCATAATACATGGCCAAAAAGAAACCCAACCTTAAATGTATTTTTTTTTTTTACAAATTTTGGTAGAGTCTTCCTTTTAAAACATTGGAAGTCATTGTCCCCACTGTTTGAGCCAATTTTTGTTACAAAAAAGAAAGCTTTCCATCTTTTCAGACATCTTCCTAAGCATCTTCACTTTGGAGTCGTGTTTTAAAATGTTTTTTTTTAGGTCCTATTCAGGTTTATTTCTTCATTGTGTTCTCTCGGACTCTATTAGTATTGTCGCCTATGGCCTGTCTTCTGCACTTGCATGTTTCACAAGGTGAAGCTCTGAGAGCTGAGTCTCAGAATGACTGGCATTAGAAATGTCACACAGAGATCAGTCTACTGACGACATGAAGGTGGATAATGTAAAGAGTATCAAAAGACATGCATAGCAGTTGGGCTGCTGAATAGGGTGTACATTACAGTACACAGTATATGCAGCTAGATAACAGAGTGACACACAAAAATATAATAAATAGCTCCCAAATGATGTAGCCTGTATAGATATTAGCTTCGTTGTTCTATATTTCACAGGCCTTGTAGCTCATAAGTGTGATAGGGAATACGTATAAGGAATGGGTTTGTTTAATGTGATAAGCTGTATTCAGTAGTGTATAGGGCTGAATTATAGCCATTAGATCTGTATGTATGTACTGCATGCAGGTTTAACACCTGTGTACGAGTATGGAAGGAGCACACTTTTCTTTGCTCACTGTGATACATTTTATTTCCGATAGCCATGATTCCATATTTGAAAGATTTTAATATGCCAGGATTTTGATAAGGCTTGTCTTCAAAATATGAAGATGCACTGTATCAGCTTTCACTTAAATGTAAGGTCAATAAGCTGCCACCAAATGTTGATTCAATTAAAAAATGTTTAAGTAAGGTGGTTAACTTTTACTGACATATAAATAGATGCCTGTATCCTGCGTGATGCAAACTGGGGATTACCGTCTGATACGGAATCAAGATAAGTTCAGTGGTGTACAGGAAAATTGTTTGCTTTTCTCTCTGTGCCCCTCAGTTTGCCCTGTAATGAAGCGGACCTTACAGTACAATGCTACTGCCATGATCATCACCAGGACATTTTTTCCAAGAGGGAGCAGTCAGAAAACTTTCATTTAAACCACTTAAAATTATTTGTAATGATTTCTCTTGAGTTTTTTAAATTAGAATATTTTTTAAATACTATTAATTTTTGGTATTTATATTTTGCACACTTCCTTGTTTTTCTGGGGGGAGGGTGGATAAGGACACTGTTGGGATCCATCAGCAAGCAACAACTTGTGAAGACACAGCATATTGAGAAAACTTTGTGCGTGCTGTAGTTACAGTGATTTTTTGAGTGTGTAACTCAGTAGGCCCAGTGTGACTGTCATAATTATTTACAGTTATGTTCTGTGAAGTGTTCAGTAGATCTGATTACCAATCCAAACCCCATCTATAGTCACTCTAAAATTGTGAGAATATTGTGTTTAAACAACTTCAGGAAAATGCTTTCCAGCATTGTTTCCAGGCATGACAGGGGCACTGGAATGCATGTATAATATCATAGATGTGTATTTTAAAGGTAATTACAGTCACTAATGTCAGTGACTATACACAGTCTCTAGAGAATCAGTTGGGTTACTTAATTTTCAGACTGTATATTTTTAAGTTTCAAGGAAGAGGTCTGTGGAGTGATATATGTTGAGAACCTCCAATCTTGTTCAGTGGTTTCTGTATTTGTATAACAGTTTCTGAATAACAATGCAGAGAAATGGAGGAAAGATGTTTGTATTTACATTACTCAGGTAATATTCACAACAAAAGTTGACTGTGCACTCTGTGATGGTTGTATATTTGTAACATCTGTCATACTGTCTGCATTATTGCTCTCCCCAACACTGGCTCCTGATAGCAACAGCTGTAATGCTCCTTGCAGGGCCAGCAGTTCCTCTGTCAATTGCTCCTCCTCTCTGAGTCGCTGTGCAAGACGTTGGAGCAGTACACTAATTTCCATGCTGTGGTCTACCCCATCGTATATATCTGCAGACAGAATATCAATACTGAAACAATACAGTTTTCACAGCTACATTCTTCAGTAGCATCCTTCAGAGAATTCTTTTATACAGAATATTTCAGAGTATAATAGGTTTATGCATGCAGGTTCCCAACCCATCCCATAAAATGTGTGTAATAACATGAACAGATGAACTCCAATGAGCTGTGTTTTTCTTGATAAGGTAATAGCTGCTAGCCAGTTGAGAAATTCCACATATTTTATAGGTCTCAAAGGTTCATTCATTGCCATGTTCACAAGAGCTTGCTACTGGGTTCCTATTCTCAGCAAAACGCACAGGCCGCCCTTTACTCCCAAGAATATTCCTGGTACTCATTTCTGTTAGAGGCTAAGTCAACCCCAGGTCCATAGTGCAGCTGGAAGGATTAGGTAAATTGAAAAAAATCCAATGACCTCATTGGGATTCAATCCTGTGACCTTCCGGCTTGTAGCATAGTGCCTCAACCAACTACGCTACCGTGTGCCCCCCAAATGTGCAATGTATTATACACAATTTGGGATGAATTAATTCATGCTGTATTTCCAAAATTGAATAGTATCATATATGACTTTGAATGAATGAATGTGTAAGGGGTGGGCCTTCTCGGCCCTTGCACCGCAACCTACAGTGATCTATTATGGTTATATATGACTTTACTATTGAGTACACAGCTGTTCTCTGGTATTTTTTTTTTTTTAGAGTTTTGCTCTTTTTCTGACTAGAGCGTTTCAACAGTGTATCCAATTTACAGAAATGTGCTACAACAGGACAGTATCTGCCTGCAAAATGCCAATGTGTGGAAAAGAAGTACAAGGAATATGTTAATTCCAAACATGTGGAACATCTTATTTAATTACCAGCTGTTGGTCAGCCCCCTCCCCCCAAACACTACTTACCTAGTAACATGTTGGCAACATCAATAAGAGTTCGGGTGAAGCGGTAGTCTCCAATGTACTTGATAAGGAACCTCAGGACAGCAGAGAGAGATTTTCCTTCTCTTCCAGCCAAAGCAGCCCTTAGACCTTTCCGCCTAATATCAAAAGAATGATCAAACATGGCTCCCATTCAGCACATCAAAAACCATCAGTCATTTTGTCTTATATCCAGAAACACAAATATGTTCCATTATACATATGTAATGGCCGTCTTGTAGTGCACTCAATTTCATATGTTGCTTCTTACTACATGTTTCGGCAACATAGTTCCATCTTCAGGTTCGTTATTTACGCTATGCTATTACATTGTTTGCCATCTTGTGTCTTTCATAAAATTATTTAGAAAGTACATTATTCGTCAACTATAATAAAATTTGTATATACTAAAACTTGTTAAGATTATTCATCTATATGTCTAAATTCAAGCTCGCATATAGTATGGTTCGTCCACTATGGGAGTCCTTCCTTTTTGGCTGCGAGCATTGTAATGTTGGAATCAATACGAAGACACACACATGTCCAACATTACAACGCAAAGGAAGGACACATCACAGACACAGTACACACAGAAACGACTCCCGTAGCGGACGAACCATACTATATGCGAGCTTGAATTTAGACATATAGATGAATAATCTTAACAAGTTTTAGTATATACAAATTTTATTATAGTTGACGAATAATGTACTTTCTAAATAATTTTATGAAAGACACAAGATGGCAAACAATGTAATAGCTTAGCGTAAATAACGAACCTGAAGATGGCACTATGTTGCTGAAACATGTAGTAAGAAGCGACATGAAATTGAGTGCACTACAAGATGGCCATTACATACGTATCATGGATGTAAATCAGTGCAACAGGACGCTAAAATACAACATCACAAATATCTTGTTTGTATCATGCCATGACCACTTCAGACACTTTCCAATTCATTCATCTATTATCATACTATCCAACACTATATAGTCTCAACAATGAGTGCATGGTTAAATAGCCTATGTGAAAATAAACATGAGGATTAAAATCTAGATTCACACCTGATGAGTTCCTGGAACACACCTACAGTAACCGCAGGTTTTTTGTTGGTGATGTATGACATCAGAACACAATCCACTGCTTTAGAGTACTGGAACTTGCGTAAACAAACATCATGTTTTGATATTAAGTCCATCTTCTCCTCACAAACTACAGTGTCTACAGAGGTAGCCTGGAAACCATCCGGTGCATAGCGATAGGAAACTTTCTTCCGTTCCTGCTTAGTGGGCCTTGTTTCTTCCTCACGCCGAGAGATGGACACCAAACCATCCACCATTCCAGCAACCACTGTCTCATCTCTAGTCTGTGAAAGAAAAAAAAAATGGCTTCACTGATCAACTTAGTTGCAATAATAAAAATAAACATGGAATCTAATGGCCTGAAAGTAAACCACCATGTATGTTCACATTTTGGCACCAGAATGCAAGAAAAAAATCATAAGATAGCTAATAAATCTTTTGAAAATAATATGGAAAAGTACAAATATTAGGGAATGATAGCAATAGACAGTAATAACATTAAAAAATTAAGATCTTATAGGATTCAGACTTCAGTATGAGTTTTGGCTTGGTTGAAATGGAAGCAATATGTTCTATTTCAGCACAATATTCTACAAGTAATTTATACAAAATTGTTAATTTGTAAAGGATTCATTTTCATGCAGCAGCACACTAAAAGCTCCACAGGTAACCAAATTAAGAAATGAATGAAATGTGTGCAGTTGCCATGCTGTCATTTTCTGGATCTAAAAGTTCGTGACGATAGTATGTTAATTCGATAATTATGTTTTGGACACTATCCATTGTCCTGTTTTGTATTTAAAACAAAACGTTTCAAAGACTGGATTCTGCTTACTCAGTTGGGCCCAGTCGATACAGCTAGTCCCTATCTCCGGAGACTAGCTATATCGATTAGGCCCAACTGAGTAGGTTTTTATCTGAAGGAAACAAAATCCAGTCTCCAAATTTTTTTGTCTTAAATAAAAAACAGGATGATGGATAATGCCCAAAAAATAGAATTTTTCAGTGCCACAAAACATGATCAAAGCTTGTTGCATCTGAGTTTCTCACAGCAGTAACAAAGAATAGTAGTCTTCTGGGTTGCAGTGCAGTGTAAGTTCAGAGAAAGTCTGATGTTTCACAGGAATATATGGGCTTCATCTTCAGGGTGAGAGAGTAAGCCAAGCAAGAGTCAAGCAGAGGCAGCTGAGCTCAGCTTTCAATCTGTTTCTGTTATTTTCTTGCTTGGCTTAATCTTCTACCCTGAAGATGGATGTGACACGTTCGTCTGAAATGGGCTATCTTCGAACACCACAGTGTTACAAACACAGATGACCATGCTGTTCATGACCAAAGCTTATCAAATGATAACAGTGGGTCCAGGTTGAAGGCAGCACACAACAGTATTTATTTTTCTTGCTAGTGAGCAAAAGAACTTGAATGAATACTCACGCTGACATCGAGACTGAGTACTGCATTGGGATAATCAAGGGTGTGGACCACCTGATATGAGGATATATCATATATTTTCACATGTCTGTCCAAGGAGGCTGACAATAATCGTTTGTTTCCTGATCCCAGGCACAGGCATGTAACAGTTCTATGATGTTGGCACAACTTTGCTAACAGGCGTCCCCCAGTAAAGGCATCCCACACTCGGATTTCTGTACCACCTGTTGACATATAACGTGAAGATTCCCTCAGTCATGTAAGTTCTTCTTTAGTGCTGCAGGGGAACATTACGGGGTTCTCGTAACACAATTAGTATAGTCTTGAACATGAGTATGAAAACTGGCTTCTTTGGTTACACTAAAATAATATTAAAATAGTGTATTTACCTCATTATATGGCAAGTTCTATTGGCAGGCATTTTGAAGTGTATGTATCCACACTATCATACTCATATTAACATTTTTCATAATTTCATTACAGTTGCTGCTGTAGTTGCATGCAACTGATCAAGTTCTATGTTTCTGGAGTCATTATACATGGGCTATTTGGAAAGTAACCTCTGGCAAGCTATTAACAAAACAAGCTATGAGAGAGAAAAAGGTATTATATACAAAAAATACCTACATGCTGAAGGTACTTCTGAATATAGTCACTGCTGGAACTGAGGCACTTGTATCGAGGAATTTGTTTCTGTATGCCTATGTTAAACAAATCTGTTCTGTGAGCTCAGCCACATTTGACACCTTCCACCATTGCTCAGAGTGAAACCAGGGCTGTAAGGACAGAGTTAAAACAACTCCCAATTGAAATGCTCCAGCAGTGCTTGAGTGCAAGCAGCTCTATATGGACATGTATTGTTATGGAGGAGCACTACACCATATGTCAGCATTTCATGCCTTTTGTTCTGAATGGCTGGCCCTACAGTTTTTTTCATGTTTTACACCAAACTTCTGACATTGTGGTCCCTTGTTGCACGAATTCGGCCATCAGCACTCCTTTCCTCTCCCAGAAAACATTTACCGTCATTTACCATTTACCGGTAAATGTTTGTTTAACCGTTTTCAGCTTATTTGGTGAATGTGTATGCATCCACTGCTTTGACTGATCTTTGGTTTCAGCATTCATAAATTAAACCCAGGTTCTGTCATCTGTTATTTATATGATGTCATTGAGAAATTCATCGCCCATCTTTGTGGTATTGCTCTAAAAAATTCAAAGCTGAAGCCATTCTCTTCATTTTGTCTGCACCCGTGAGCATTTTGAGAACCCATCTTGCTCAAAGCTTGTGAGAGCCTAGCCTAACCATGCTAAGCTCATAGAGAACAGTGCATGAAATTCATGGAAATTCACATGAAAGTTCTCAAATTGTGAACTGCTGTCTTTCACAAATTTTTTGGTCAACACTTTGAACAAGATCATCACTTGCTGCAAATGGCCAACCACATTGCTCTTCATCGTGAACACTGTTCACCCATCTTTGAACATTCTACATCATTGTCTTAGAGTTTCTTCACTCATTACTCGTATATTCTGGCTGTAAATCGCCGTGCATAATTCATGGATCTCTGCAGCACTTTAGCATGAAGAAAGTAGTTAACAGTGCAAATTTCACAGCTGACGGGATTATCAGTCAGTGACCAGTTATGTGATGGTTTTCCAAGCAGTGAGTCATGTGACACTACCTTGCATGTGCAAGTTCCATTTATTCTAGGCAATTAATGCAGGAGTGGGGGCCCCCTGCATTAATTGCCTAAAATAAATGGTGGTTACGTTCGAAATAGGGAGGCACACGGTAGTGTAGTTGACTGAGGCACTATGCTGCAAGCCAGAAGGTTGCAGGTTCGAGTCTTGGTGAGGTGGATTTTTTTCAGTTGACCTAATCCTTCCAGCCTCACTATGGCCCTGGGGTTGACTCAGCCTCTAACATAAATGAGTACCAGGAATCTCCCTGGGGGGTAAAGGGCTGCTGGCGCATAAGGCTGACAACCTTACCGCCATCTGTGAGCTGATTGTCCAGAAAATGTGGGAGCCTCAACATCTCAACCCTACTGGCCTCCATGGCCTGTTACAGGGATAGCTTTTCCTTTACTTTCCAAATAGCCCTCATAGTTCATGGCTCTTTTGAGGTAACTTTCATAATGATACAGCAATAGACTTGAACCCATATACCCTATGTTCTTCCTACTGCTTAACCAAAGAGAATGATGCTTGAAACAGATATATTCCATATGTACACTCTATGGGTAAGTGTGTTTTCACGTATGCCAGTGGTTGCCAGATGCCACTTGGGATGCATATGCACAGTGATCCACTGTGGTGAGGGTTAAGAAATTAATTAAGTGCAGGATATTATAGTAGTACTATTATATGTTATTGTATGTAACTGTTGCATTCATTTGAAGAGTTAAACTAGCAGATTTCTTTATTTTTCACAAATTGCATATGATAAGTTTAAATTAGTGGTTAATGGATACATCTGAGGGAGTAATAATTGTGTGGTATTGAGGAAATACATATTTCTGTGGTCAGTATGTACCAGTGAATGAGAAACAAAGAACAATTACTATGTGCGCATTTTAACAGCACTTCATTGATGGACCTAATAGTGATTGCAGTTTTCCTGATGTGACTGAAAGCAAGCTGGAAGGAAACATCAAGAACATATAAAATATTTCCCAGTCCTTTACAGTATACAATCAGTGATTACATAAATTTCTGTGATTAAGAATGTATCTCTATTAAAATATAGGTGCACTTTCAGTCAACTGCCTCAGTATTTTTGAAGATGGAATATTAAATTTTGAGATAGCAGCCACCTGAGAATTTAAATGAGGAAGAAAAGTTCAGTAATATTGGATCAGTGCTTAACTGCTTAATAAATTTTATCTAAAGGCAGTTTGGCTTTATTAAGAACATACCAGATGTTGGTATATATCTATTTCCGATTCCTCCGCTTATGAATTGCCCAGCCTTGGAGTAATTAGCCTGGTCTCCTGTAAGATCTGTGGCCATGGAAATCTTTAACAAACGGAGTCTCCTTATCAAAAGTACGAGTACATCCTTATCAACTGTAAGGTTTTGATTCAAACTGTTCCCGACATCAGTGCTCTTAAAGGAGTCCTGTATTGAAAGTTTACTGCAATGATTATTTCAGAGGGGTGTCATTATGCTGGGGGGTGATACTCCTCATTAAGGGAACATAATGTTCCAAAGATTTTCATTCTTACTTTGGCCTTCTCATAGGAAGTGAAACTTATCTAACTGTAACATACTGCCTAGCTTCATATTGTAAAAATACTTCTGACATTTCTAGTAAAACCTTCCAGCAAGCTCAGTTTCTGTAAACAAACTGAGAAATAAATCAAAAACCTTTAGCACTGAACTCATCACTAGAGGTTTATTTCACAAACTGCACACCATTTCAAGTAATGGCTGCATTGGGCTCACTCTCACATCCATGCCCTGCCCTTCGCACATATATCAAGTAAAGCAAAAGGTAAAGTTGTCCCTGTGCTTAACTAATTAAGCACTACACAATGAAGATGCATGGGACTGTGGATGTATAGACCCAGGTGTCATTGACCACAGCACTAGTTTGAGGAGAGTGGTCAGCTTCACGCCCCATCCACTTTACCCTCCAAAGCCCCCCACTACCCATTGGATAGGAGGCTGGGTGGGCCCCAGAGCCAGCCTAGATGACAAGAAGTGAAAATTCTTGCCCCCACTGGGACTTGAACTCCAACCCCCTGGTCGTTCAGCCTGTAGCTAGTCACTATACAGACTATGCTAGTCTGGCTCTACACATATCAAGTACATTCCCTAAAAAGTGTAAGCAATTATACTTTATGTTCTCTCTTACAATGTATTGGTCCTAAAGCAAGTCTTTCATCTCACACTTGCTGTCACTGCCTTACCTCAATATAAACACTATTCAGTAGCACAGAAGTCTTGTATGCCATAAATGGCAACTAACTACTTTCCTTAAAGTTAATGATACTTCAAAGTTATGTACAATTCTGATAACAGTGTAAGTTATAAAGGCATTAGTTGTATGAAGACCTCAGTACCAAATAAAATGGTCACTGGGTTTGCACAGCGTACCTGCAGACAGAAATACACCACCTGTTGGGAGGAACAGAACACTCTCAACTGGAGCACCATGGTCCATGTTGAAAACTGAAGCGTTAATTCGCGTATCATACATTCGAACAATATTGTCATAGCCACCTGACAGGATAATGTCTGTTGATACTGGAGAAATGGCACCAGCACGGACATAATCCTGCATAACAAATTGGGGATGAAAGTTATAGGCTGAACCAAACACAGGAGATTTAGCTTTAAAATGTAGGATCACATACACACCACTCAAAACACACATGCATGCATACACAAACACACTAACAAATACATAACTGGTAAGATTACATCTGAGCTCACTGAATGACTCGTTCTTCAGGATCAGCAAGGGAATTCTTAAATTAAAACGGGATTTTGTTTGCACATATTTTCAGAACTTCAAACACAAGAAACACTAATATAAACAACAATAATTATTAGAGTGCCCTCAGCTGCCACTCCAAATGATGTGTTTTGAACACAAAATGGTGTGTTAAAGCTGTCATGGTATAATTTATGCCACTGAACAATATGTCACTATATGCCTGGAACTGGATGATCTTGTAATGAAGAGCTGGTTTAAATTTTACTCACCAAATGTTCAGAGAAACTTGTAACTTTGCTCTCACTTGGAATGTCCCAAAGGCATATGGATTTATCATCTGAGAAACTTGCAATGTGAGTTTTGTCTAGCGTGAAGAAACAGCGATGAACAGCACTGAAACAGAAACTCAGTAAACACAGAAGTTACCCTCACACATTTTAATTAAGTCACAACCTAAAATGTGCATGAGGCTCACACAGAGCTCCACCATCCCACTGAAGCTTGCTTCGCACAAGTTTTCTGTGCCTTATTCTTTCAACAAAATGGTTATCGCTGAATTTAAGAGATAGCTAAGCCACCTGATCTAACTACTCCAAAGGCTACTGTAAGTACAGGATAAACAAGAAACCTCAGAAGTAATCAGGTGCATGCATAGTGTAGCTTTATGGTCTTTCCATGAACAAACATGGATCTAATGGAGTACTTTTTGGGCCATGGTTTCTAATGAAGTTGACAAACAAACAGTGCATAAGAACTTCCCTAGTTGGATGAACTTACTCTAACAAGGACAAGGAAATAGAGCTGAAACTGTAATTGCAACACGAGAGAAATCTCAAATCTATAATTTATGCATTCAACACAAACAGGTGTTTCCACTCAGTGTTTAACTAAACAAGATGACTGTTCTGATGTTTGAAACACACTTCTGCTCTTCATAGTTCAGAAACAAGCTCTGCAATACCTTGAGTGTCCTTTGAACACACGAAGAAGGGACTTGGAGCTGACATCAAACAATTTTACTTGGCATTCTTCCCCACCCACACAGATCAGACTTCCATCTGATCTGAAACTTCCTCCATATGCAGTTTCTCGGAAATGGCTCAAATTCTTCTGAACTACCTTTGTGATTGGATTGTATATCTGGACCTAGCACAAACAAAAGGACTGACAGCCCATTTCGATGCATTGGAATCATTTGTGAATTCTAACAGAATCCCATAAATTCAATTTCACATACTCATTTTTACGACACTTTAGTGTTAGTGAAGAGAGAGTCCATAACTTTACAATTAAGTAAAAGGTAAAAGTAAAGGTACCCCTGTAACAGGCCGTGGAGGCCCATAGGGTTGTGAGATGCTGAGACAATTGGCTCACAGATGGCAGTGAGGTTGTCAGCCTTATGCACCGGCCACCCTTTACCTCCAGGAATATTCCTAGCACTCATTTCTGTTAGAGGCTGAGTTGACCCCAGGTCTATAGTATGGGTGGAACGATTAGGTAAATTGAAAAATCCACCTCATCAGGATTTGATCCCACGACCTTCCAGATTGTAGCATAGTGCCTTAACCAACTATGCTACTGCATGCCCCCAACTTTACTTTACATAGAAGAATAAATATTTTTAAGTTCTTGATTCCATAGGACACCAACAAATCATACGTTCCTTTGAAAGCATTATAAAATGCTCGTTTCCAGATTCATTTTTTTAATTGTATCGTTTTCATCACCATTCTCCTCATTACACCTATGCGGCCTGTTACTGATATAAAACAATACTTCCATCTTTTTTGAGGTCATCCTAAGCATCTTCGCTGTAGGATTTGAGGTTCTCACAGAAGTGGTTATGAAGAGTTTCATGTCCTGAGATATAACACTGTGTACTCCTCTGAGAGTCCACTGATATTTTGGAGGAATATGTAGCCTCCAAATTCAGAGTCAGCAAATTAGCCAAGCAGGTAGCAAACAGAGCTTCCTCTTTGACCCTAAAGATGCAGGTGACATGTTCCTCCATAACGTTGGTTGACTTTCAACAGATTACATGATGTTATATCCCAGTAGGCATAACTCTTCATTTTCTTCCTTGTGTTGATATTTTGTTATTTTTGGTGGGAGTGTCATGGGTAGTGATATATCACCAGTAGCTTTTATCTCATCTCATTATCCCTAACCCACTTAAACCGATGAGGTTCTGGCAGACGTATCATGGTGCTGGTGGACATGCTAGTCAAGAGAAGGCTACACAAGCTCAAAAGGTAACAACATTACTACTGGACTTGCAGCCATACGGACAGACTGTCTATTGCTTTCAAATTGTTACATAAACAAAATTAAGCAGTAAGGTACTTACTCGAACAGAACATGTAACAGCAAAATAATGTGGCTCCACTGGGGAGAAGTCAATGTAGTCAATTGAACCAAACTCTTTCACTAATGCAGGTACCTGGAAATATATGTAATCAAAAGTTAGTATCTCCATGTCATTTTATTAAATCCACCATATGAGAATGTTTATTATAAGCATCATGCGACTGTAACCGAAGTCCTTACCCTTATCTGGAATATGTATGTTTTCTTGGGCAGGGGTTGAAAAATATGGTCATCAGGTCTCCAGTAACAACAAAAAGTTTTGGTTCAAGAGTACTTTCTCACTAGGCATTCAGGTGTTGCGTTTTGGAATTTTGGCAACCTCACTGTCACTTATGGCACAGACAAAATGGCAAACAATATCCAAAAAAGTTAAGATCAACATAATTGGTGAGTCAAGGGAGTCTCTTCCTCAAATCTGGCTATCATCCTATGCCTATGCTACATGCATTTAAGGGAAATGGTGCAACAGCAGGAAAGAGTGAGCCATGGAAACAGCCACAGTCCTGCACAAAAACATACTGATCCACCTTTCTGTGGTGACTAAAGCATCCCTTGGGCAACCAGACTTTCCAAATATTCTTCATCTCTGAGTTTCACCTATACAGTAATTCTACAACCATAAAATGTTTATGCAGTATATTACACTGAAATGAACAATCTATAAATTTTCAGTGTTTTCAGTTTCTCAGAATATATGAAACAGTAATAAATGAACCAACAATTCCCATATTTCTGTTCAGTTCTTCATTTTTTTTATTTGATTTATTATTACCTCAAGCAATCTGTACAGGCAAGACAGTCACCACAGATATAGAAGCAGTCCATTCATATATATACTAAAATAAGATATAAAATGAAAAGTAAAATATAACAAATA